CCCCAAAACCCCAAAACCCCAAAACCCCAAAACCCCAAAACCCCTACAATATTTTATGAAGTTGAGATATTATTTTCTTTCCAAAAGCACTGTGCACATCTTGATCAAATCGAGAAGGCCTTGCTTGAGCGAGTATGATGACTGGTTAACTGCCTCATATCTCGCCTTGTTTTGATGGGTCTTAATCATCGCTAATCTTGACTTGCTGGGCTTCTTCAGTAACATTATTCTACTCTTATCTACCAAGTAAGACAAAATTTACCAAAGACGAGAGGTGATTTCTTCAAATTAGCAATATTGGTTGAATAACTCCTTGCTATAAGATCATTGGAAAAGAAGCTTACATTTCATGTTGGAGTTAGCCTTCTGGATAACCTTTTCATAATCATCTCCACAAAGGGCAGACTTCTTCTCACTCCTAAGTCCTCTGAAGATCTTCCGATCATAAATATTAGGAGGCTTTTCATCCAATTTTTGGTCAAAGAAGAGAGAGAAAAGTCTGTTATTCTTCATTTTTGGGTTATTTACTGTCTGTAGTGTGAACTTCCTTGATTGCAAAATTCCTGCTGTTACCTTGAACTGAGTTCTCTCTCCTCACTCCAAGAGTTGTCTGACCATACTCTTTCATTGCAGACAAGGATGTCTTCCCAAACTTTGAAGTGTTAGACCTAGCATTAAGTCCATTCGAAGTAGACTGACTTGGAGAAGGGAGATTCACAACCTCACTGAGATTATGCCTCAATGATTCCCCAGCTTTGCTGAGTCGTTCTATAGCTTTCTTCCTTGAAAGCTCTGCCTCTTCAAATAACTTCTTGAGCATGCTATTATCATCTTCTCAGATTCCTTTTTCATATCTGTGCATATAAAACTTGAACTTTTTGAAATTCCCCAGATAAAAATGTTCATAAGCCATGATAAAGTAAGCTTGAAGCTCCATTTCTTGTCTCTGCTCAGGTGTCTAAACCAAATTTCACACTAAAAATACAGTATTTTCCTTGACCACCCAGACATTCTTGAGTAGATTCTTAGCTAATCTTAGAGCTTTTTCATGCTCGTTCTTGAGCCTGGCTCAGTACGAAAGCTGTGCGTACATCACCATAGTCTCATAATTCTGCTTCTGGCTTTCTGATTCTTTCTTAAGCTCCTAAAGATATCAATTAAGAGTTACCAAATATCACTCCTCAGCCAGTTGAATCTTCTGATTTTCGAGGTAGTAATCTCCAAGAATCTTGCAGCTGTAGAACTTGAGCTGGAACTGACCAGTTCCAGCACAGAGATTCTTCAAGGTCTGAATGACCTTCTTGTCTCTCTATGATTGAGATTTTGAATTTACATCCTTATTGGCACCTTGAGTGTTGACTTCTTCCTCCTTATCTTTGAGCTTTAAGTATTTCTTAATGTAGAGAACGATGTATTCCAATTTCTGGGAGTAACTCAAAGTTTCATAGCTGGGAACCTTAATCTGCATTGCCTTTAGTTTACTAGACTCAGTGATTGAAGACCTTACAACCTCTTCTTTGGGATTTTAGCCTTGAATTGTGAAAAATCAGTAGTATTCTTTCTCCGAACGTTATTCAGAGTCTTGTCAAACAGATCTTTGTTCTTCTTGGTCATCTATGGAATACTTAAAGGCTCATACCAGTTCCTTTGGCTTGAGGATGTAGCTCTGGGAGAACCTTTTCGAGCAAGCTATGCTTCGAAGCTTGAACTTCCTCTTTTCAGGTCCTTTCAACACATTTGAAAAATCTAAGATTAGCTGAAGGCTCGTACCAAAAGTTGTTAAATCTTTTGCTGGTGACCAGGCTAGGAGTTAGACTAAATGTACCTGAACTCTCACTAATGGTTGAAATATTGCCATAGGGGTACTTGTTGGTGTAGGATTGTCCTGAGTCATTCCGGAAATACATCGAGTCATTCCTACTCTTCCTTACCTTTGATTTTAAGTAATTTACGCTATATTTTATTTCATAATTAGTCAAATTTCCTGGTATTAATCAAACTCTAGCTGATAGATTGCTACTTTTGAACAACAAAGGTTTGGAAATCCATGATTTAAAATTTAGCAATAATCTATCTGAACAAGTCAGGTATTTCATTAATAGCCCAACATTATTAGCTCCTTTCAAAGTGGGATAATAACGAGATTTAAATTAAAAAATAAGAATTCTCTGTCTTATAAATTTCATTAAAAGTAACCAAAAAGTACATAAAAATTGATATTTTCATGAAATGCATTAATTCTACCATGCTTTGTATTTATGGTGATTAAGTCTGAATTAAAAGAGGGTAAAGAAAAGGGCATAAGGAAGTCAAGAACCGAGCTAAAGTCTGGCCTGAAGTTTCAAAACATAATCTTATCCATTACGAATACAGTTTCATCTCAAAACTCAAAATTTATTAATGAGTAATTTACCTGTTAAATTGATCAGAAATTGTTTTATTCCTTATCTCAGGTGTCGTAAGGGTCATGTTGTCTAAAATAATCTCATAAGTATAGAGATGCAGAGGCGAATGATCAATTAAAAGCATAATTTTGATGACTCAGGTTGAAATTGAAGAGTACTTGGCTAATTATGTCCATACAACACTCTTCAAATCTTGGTTATTCAATACTAGCACATAAATTATCAGAGAGTTTTTAAACTTGAGTGCAAATACCCCCCAGAACTTAGATTATTATCCTTCTCACTTCAAAAAGTTACTATATCGTTTATCATCCGGTCAGTCTCTGCTTCCAGTGTAATCCGGTTTCCCTTTGCTTGTTTTGAGTTCTAAAATTACTCATCTTACTTACAATTGTGGATTTATTTACAGATTGTGACCTTGTTTTCCTAAAAATATCCATCTCAGACCTGGTTTATAAATCCCAAAATTGGGAGCTCACTTACACTACAATTATATTAGAGACCTCCAAATGCTGGTTCGGAAGTATAAATCCGTTATGGAACCCAATACGTACATGGCTTGAGCTTGGAACCAATTGATTCAATAAAACTGGAGTTAAAACCTCGAAGCTTACAGTTTGGCGCCCCTCTTCTGCTTAATCTTCAATTGTTTTATATCTAAAGGAATGAACAGGTGGCATACCAAATGAAAGCATTTCTAAACAGCAATATTTATTCAATTTTATTTCTAAAGATTGGGGTTTTGGGGTTTTGGGGTTTTGGGGTTTTGGGGTTTTGGGG